AAAAGGCTTAACTCTAAATGGCAAAGAATTCACTGATTTTCTGGACATTAAAAAAAAACTAAATGTTATGTGCTTCAGAAGCACCCTGAATTTTGAAGAGATCAGAGAAAGAGGAGGTATTCAGAGCAGAGCATTAACTCAGGTCTGGTCTTGTTTTTCTGCTTCATACAAGTAGTCGTGGGAGGACATTCAGTTCGCAGTAAGACAGGAAGACGTTTAAAAATAAAATGAGGGGAGAGTAATGGCTCAGTGGTAAAGCGTGTGCTTAGCATGCACGAGGCCTTGAGTTCAATCCCCAGTACCTCCATTTTTTAAAAAAAGTCAAAAAGACACTTGCACCCCAATGTTCACAGCAGCACTATATACAACAGCCAAGACATGGAGACAACCCAAATGCTCATCAACAGATGACTGGATAAAGAAGATGTGGTACATATATACAATAGAATACTACTCAGCCATAAAAAAGAATAAAATCATGTCATTTGCAGCAACATGGATGGACCTGAAGATTGTCATTCAAAGTAAAGTGGGCCAGAAGGAGAAAGAAAAATGCCATATGACATCATTTATATGAAGAATCTAAAAAATAATAACAATAAGGACACAAATGAACTAGTTATTCTTTTGATTTCTTGAATATGTGTGAGCACATCCGACTGTCCTTTACGACTGGATTACTGTGCTCTGTTGATTCTTATTTTGTTGTTGGCTTTATTCCTTTGATAACTAAGTTTAAAAAGCTAAAGATCTAACCTGTTCTTAGAAACGATAATTAGTACATACATGTCAACTAAAATAAAGTGCAGTATACTGTATATATGTATTTACATGCAGTATAAAGTATAGTGCAGTCGAACTGTAATGATTCTACATAAAACTGGAAAAAAAGTCAAAAATAAAAACTTCATTTTTAAAGTTAGGTAAGTGTGTTTAATCCTCATTTCACATTAAAAGCTTGAAGTTGGTTATTTTTCTATACAAGCGTATGTCTTGTCCCAAATGCTTTCCCTTACCATATTCCTTATTTACAGACAATAAAATTAATAAATACAGCCACTGATAAGACATGGATTGAAGAATTTGAAAAGGGGGATTTTTTTTGTCTATAAAATCCCCCAGGATCACAGTAACTAAAGTGCCAGGGAGCTAAAGCGAGTCCCACGCTAAGCACTGCCACCTCTGAGGATCGGATCCCCTTCTTCATTTGCTAAAACCCTTGACAACATACAGGTGCTATTTATCTATATTGCACAGGTTGTTACATTTGATTTGCAATGTGATCGTGGTAGCAGAGAGGCAGGTACTAACGTGGTATTTGATAGAAAGAAAAATGTCCATAGTAGTTAGCAAGCAGTTGT